TTTAATTTGTATGATTTTTAAAAAATTGGCATGAATTTGATTTTCGAAAAATTTCCAGAGACGTGACAAGTAGAATGAAATTCACTGCAACAACAAAAATAAAAGTTCAAAGTGTTCTGGTTTGATTTGTATACATGTGCAAGTGTTTGGTGAAAATATAAAAGCTGGTCTGTGCATTGATTCAGACCCATACACTGAATTACATGAGACAGATGTACGGCACGACGTTGTGATTTCGTTGCGCGAAAAACAACACCGGTACTAGTGCTAGATCTAGCCCTAGAACTACGACTCGGGCCGTGTTCGGGTACATATCCAGGATCCTAACTATTAGACACATCATATTCTGAGACACTAGAACTAGTAAAACGCACAGAAGTATAGAAAACGGCGAAATTATGTGATTCTTGTTCATGCGACTTCTTCGACCGTTACTACGACGCGACTGTCGGATTACTATGAGCTGTATAGAAAAAAACAAAGCGCGAGTTCCGGTCTGTTCAACCCCAGTTGGGGTCACTGTCTTTCACCTTCAATAACTTAAAAACTACCGGCCCCAGAGATACGAAACGAAGTCTAAGTAGCTCAGGCTTGGCCAAACAAGGGTACGAGGCGGGTCTCGCGATCCGTGCGTGATTTGTAGAGCGAAAAAAAAATTCCAAAGTTGGTCACGCAGGGCTTGTGAGACCCGACGCGAGCGTCATGGCGGGGGTCACGCAACTGTTGTGTGACCCGTCTGAAGTGAGTTAATGTGGAGATGTTTAGTGCACTTGGTACTCTTTTATTGTCTGTCAAACATGGGGTTGCAGCCAGTGACTGACTTTAACAAATTTGATCAAATTTTAAACAACTACCATTTTCTTTAAAATTGACTGAGAGGTTAAAGAATGGCACCAAAATGCTCAGTGGATGTAGAGGCCTTTCTCTCTCTCTCTCTCTCTTCTGGCGCTGTGGCTTCATAAGCGGTCAGCGATGCCGACAGCACGCAGGAACTCAACACTCGCCCGGGGGTCCTCAAAAAGTGCTGAAAGTGGGTTACTGAAATGTCCCAGCAGACGGGTTCTAGAATCGATTGGCGTGTCAATCTGGGTAAGCGCTGTTGCTTCTTTGGCGATGCTGTCAACTTCCTCGTTCCCAGCCAGTCCGGC